AATTAAAATCTAAAAATAAATAAAGAAAGTAGTTAGTAAAACATTCAAATAAAAAATTATAGAAATGGTATAAGATATTAGATAATAGTAGTACGAAAGATAAAAAGAAATTGACAATATTAAAAGTATTCCAGTACGCGAATACAATTATTCCAACATTATCAATCAAATTGCCAATTTTTCTTAAAGATAAACTTACAAGTAAACTGCTTAATTTTAAAACCCATTTTAAGCTTTATCTGCAATACAAAAAAAATTTACTTTGATCTTCTTATATAGTATATATACATATTTGGAGTTACAAATATTGTTTAACATAAATTGTATAAGCCACCTTTTCTGATAGCATTCTTTTTTAGTATTGTTTGGGGTGCTACACAAAGTTACAAGAAGCTCTTGTCTAATCAAATGCTCATAATTGTATACTCCACTTAACTTGCCTATAAACTATACTCTATGTACTTTGTACTCTGTTTCTAGTATATAATAATAATAATATAAATATTACCAATATCAATATCCTTAGAAATAAATTCTTGTATATGTTTCTTTAGTCAATTTTGTGTAGCATAAGCTAATTGTTTAGGCTTATATCTAAAAAATTAATTTAAATTAATATATATAATTAATAAAAAATTTAATAATAATATATTATAACTGAAATATTTGGTTATAGGGTGGGTTTAGGTCTTTGTTAGAAGAAATATCAAGATGAAAAGGAGTTTTATTATATTATTAGGACTTTAAGCAATAGATGATACCTTTTTGCAAGTTTTTTACAGAATATTTTTATAAGAAAATATTTTACCAATACTTAACCATCTACTCTCTAGACTAGTTTCAAAACTTTATTACAACTCTTCCTAGTTACAAACCTATTTGATAATTACTATCCTAACACTATATATAACAATTTATGCATAACGATAATAACATAATGATGTTATAAATAAATAAATAAATACATATACAAGTTTGTTGGACGAAAGATCTGTCGGTGTCATGTGATTGTCATGTGTATTGCGGTCTCATAATCATTATAGTGCGTAATATTAGACTAGTAGCAATAATTCTATTACACTTTCCTTTTCTTCAAAAT